CCCTGCAGTATCTTTCCCCCCTCCACAGGGAGCGAGGGCACGTGCGTCTTTTGAAAGGGGGCTTTGTGATCTATGATTATGATGAGGCCTTATTCCCCCAACCTTGAGAGGCTGGCTGCAGCTGGACCAGAAAGATAAGACCTCTAACATGCATCAAGGCTGCGCATGTGGTATACATTCAGCTGGGCTGCCACAAAGAGAATGCGCACCGGTGTAGCACTGCATCTAGCATATTTATTACAGTGAAGAATGGAAGGTGCCCATATTAGACACACATTTGTGTTCTCATATGAACAGAGAGGCCCTTCTATATTGTGCTTCTGCCACCGTCCATTTGTTAGGAAGATGTGGTTTTTGTTCCCTTTGGAATGAAAATTAAGTCTGCAGATGCAGGTTGTCACTTGGCCGAACTTTTGTGCATGCTTTCGGTAAGCATCTAGGTCAACTGCAGGATACATCAACATAAAACATGCAGACCAGCTCAGTTGGGGTTTATCTGTGAATTATGCAAATATGGAAACACGGTCCACCTCCACAGTAGTCCTCAATTCTGTAGTTTTCATAAAAGGATACATTTGGGATGTTTTACATGATGAGATGTTTTGACAATGCGTCCTGCTCAACATCTGATTTTCAAGATTGTTTATGAAAGTGTATTAAAGTTATAGTCCAACCAAGAAAGAAGACTGATCTGCAGAACACAAAGGATGATGTTTTGAAGAATGTTTCAGCTGTTGTTATCCATATTGTGAAAGTCGAAATCTTCAAGCCCTAAAAAGCACATAAAAGTAGCATGAAATTAATCCATACAACATGAATGGCATAGTCCAATTCTGTTCTGTATGCATGCATGCACAGCCTACATCAAATGTGGTGATAAGAACGTCATGACGTTTGGTCATGTGACGTGCAAGAACCAATGAGTTTTGACATTTGAAATTTGTGTTGCTATATTCAATGTACAGTAGTCTGTATTTGTTTATGTCAGTCAATGTTTTGATTTGATTTAAAAGTGAATAAAGTCTTTTATTTTGATTAAATTAATTGGATAAATGGAGGTGTTTAGATTAATTTCATGCTGCTTGAAAGTTTTGGACCCCAACTTTCATTGTTTGAACAAAAACTGAAATTTTCTTTAAAATATCTCTGTGTTCCATAGAAGAAAGAAAGTCTGGAATGACATGAGGGTAAATGGTGACAGAATTTTATTTTTTTGGGTGAACTAGTCCTTTAGGTTTTGCATATTCAGATGTCCTTCTTTCTGACCCCTTGCAGAGATCGCCAGGTACCTGTCCAGTGTGAAAAACCTTGGCTACAATGAAAAGCCAGACTACCAGGCCCTCAGGAAGATTCTGTCAGTGGCCGGGCCGCAAGGCCCATTGGACCTCTCTAGGCCGAGACTGATGGAGACAGCAAGGCCAACCACACAAAGGGTGAGTGTGAGATGCTTTGGCACATCAGCCCAGTAGTCTTAATAGAGACCATATGAGCCGGGGCTGGAGCATTCAGAGCAGCCTGTGGGCTGCGGCAGATTTATCTGTCTGGGAGAGAGAAGGACATGCTCAGGTTTGGGAACCCTCCTCTGACCCGTTCCCTGCTACACTGACTCCCACTTCTGCTCAGAGCCGTCTGACTGGCCTATTGGCGGTGTTGCAGTTGGGCCGAAGTGGTGCGGACCAGAAAAAAGAAGATTTACACAGTGCTGACAGACTCAAAGTTACTAAAGGCCCTCAGCCTGGGGCCACAGCTCAGTGCAGTGTCAAAAACGTACAAGAGAGCTATTTAATTAAAGCACTTTTATTTATTGCAATCACATGCAGTGTATTCCAATGTCTGTATGCGCATTCAGAATCGAACTGCCTAAAATACACTACATTGAATTCCTGCACTCTATTATGAGAGACAAGAATGGCACTTTTCCTCTATAAGGGGAATAAGCGGGTGGATCTTGACCGTGGTGTCATAGGTTAACCTTTGCTGACCTTGCCAAAAGGCTTATTGGATCTCAAGAGGTCTGGAGTGGAGAGACCTTAATTCCTCTGGAATCACTTCACAGTTGATCACTGCCAACTTGAAACGCTGAACTTTTGCGAACACCCGAGCAACCCAATTTGGGACTGTTGAATACACACATTTTGCGGAGGCCAAAAGATCGCCAGTTAGAATTGCCTCTCACTTTTATGTGGAGCTGTCCAGCAGTTTGATCTGTGGTTCAATAGAGAAGGCTCAGTGTTGAGGATTTGGAGAAGGGTTGGTAAATACCCTCAGTGTTTAGGGTGTCATTTACTCCTTTGTACCCTGATATTGAAACCACTCTGCACAGTTAGTAACACTGTGGACCACCTGAAGAACATATCTCAGTTCTAGTTTTAGATTGACCTTTGCATTTTCAAGTGTTTTATAAATAAATCATGAATCATACAAATCAAATGATGATTTTAATAATATAAAAAATATCATGCCATGAATGAACTAAGAAATTTAAGTGAAATTTCACTTGAAAAAAAAAAAGGTCAGAAGTCAATAGTGTAGCGATGTATGAAGCTCACACAAGTCACTTTCAAACCAAGCAGCTTTATTTTGATCCCTTGACCAACTTGAACCCAGTAAAAAAAATTAGTCCTCACATAATTCCTGATCACTTGGATTTCAATTGAAATAAATGGATTTCACTCAAGAAAATTCAGCAGACAACGGTAAACATGACCACACTCACAGTTCTGCACAACCCTGATCTTTACCCAGTGATACAAGATAAACAATGAGCTGTTGTTGTCATTCATTGGTTGTTGTTTTTTTTCCAACTATTTCTGTATTTTGTTTCCAACTTGAATATGTGGTTCCCGACCTAGATGTAGGAGCTTTCCAGATGCACCAGACAAGTGTTAGACTAAAAATGTGTTTCCCTGATAGGGGTTAGACTACAGGACAGTGTGTGATGATGTTGCTCAGGCTGGATTGGTTATACTGCAAGTTCAAAGTTGAGAAGATTTGATTTGAGAAGATGTTCCTTCAGTGAATACATAGATGTTCCTGTTTTGTGCCCAGGTAGTTGGGTGATGGTTGCTGTATCAATGTATTTGAATGTTCTACAAGGATGAATGGAGAGTTCTTACAAAGCAGTGTGCAGAAGTGTCTTTTTCCTCTGACCTTGACCACCTTTTGCACAGATGGAAAGCATCAGTGTCAAGAGCAAGGGCATTAAGATTTGAATCCTCTTTTCTTTGTAGTTCTATTTTTCTCAGTGGTTCTGTTAATCTCCTTCTAGAAGATGTAGCTGAAGTTCCTTTGAATAAAAGCTAAAACAACACCATCAGTGTCCCCCTCGTGCCTCAGCTCTCCTGAAACCATGTCAGGCAGTGTGAGGCCAACGGCTCCTCGTGTCACTCCAACACTCCTGGAGTTTATTTTGCCTACAGCTGACCTCGTTGGTGATCTGTGGCCAAATTTAATTTGGACAGTTGCCACATTATGGAGAGCAGTAGATGTGATTAATCAGTGCAGGTCCTCTCCTCTCAGGATCCAGGTCAGGGAGGGAACATTGAATGCTCACTCTCTCTCTTGTGAATGCTCAGAGACAAAAGCAAGTAAATTCCTGTCATTTAATTTAACTTCCCACAGGCTGCAAGCCAACCCAGGACTACTGAGAAAAAAACAGCAAGATCAAAGCCTGTGGTGACAGCAGAGGAAGATGATGAGGAAGAGTTGCGCAGGTCAACATCAAACAAAGTTTGGAGCAAGACAAAACGAGAGACGCACAAACAGGTATAATTCTAAAAACAACCGAAAAATTGGCTTAAAAGCCAATTGTTTAATTTAGGAATCAACTTACGTTTGTCACAGTATAAATGGGTATTTACAATATACATGCAAATTTACACTACCGTTCATAGTGTTTGGGGTCTGCAAGGTTTTTAATGTTTTTGAGTCTCTTATGCTCAACTAGACTGCATTTATTTGATCAATAATACAGCAATATTGTAAATATTATTAAAATAAGATGACAGGGAAGAGAATAATTGTTGGTTTAGAACAACATGAGTGTGAGTAATTAATGACAGAATTTAAATTTTTGGGTGAACTATCCCTTTAATATTTTTGTGGAAACTGTGATACTTTTTTCTCAGTATATTTGATAAATAGAAAGTTGCTCTTGCATACATAATTCATATATAGTGTTATCATACAGTGGTTTAATACACTCTCATTGATATTATTCATTGGTGTCATCTTCATAGAGACCAAACAAAGCTGACATGGCTGCTAAAGGAAGCGTCAGGCAAAGTCCTAGGCCTTATGAAAGTGATGAGGACATCAGTGATGAAGATGAGCCCCTCCCTCCACGAGTTCATCCTAGAACAAGAGCAGGAGCACGGCAGAGACAGGAACTTAAACAAGTAAAACCAGCAGCAGAGTGCAGGCCAAATGCCAAATAGAGCAGTCAATCTTTTACTTTTTCAAATTGATCAATGTTTTAAAAGCATCAAGAGTCACAGGAAATACAAATATGTTTTGCGGTGTTTATTATATGATACAAAAGTCTATTAACAAATTCAACATACCAGCCCTCTCATTTTTATTTCTTATATTTTGAAAACATAACATTTGCTCCAACAACACAGGAAAAGAGGAACGCAGATGTTTACGAGGGCGAGACCTGGATGACCATGAGGGGAAGACAAAACGGTCACTACGAGAACCAGCAAACACATACTCTGACACTAACTGAAGACCATGCAGAAGTCAGCAGTGAAGTCGACTATTGGGGGAACTACAGCAGAAAAAAACAAGGCTGGAATCCAAAGCAGTGGGAAGAAACTGACGATGAAGGAGACGACTGGGGAAGTGATGTTTGTGGACAGGAAGATGAATGGACTCGGTACCATTACAGAGAAGGAGATGGCTTTGGGAAATCAGAAAATCAGGCTAAATGGCCAATCAAAAGAATGTTGATCTTCCTTGTTGTTATGGTACTGACTGTTGTTGGTATTACCCTCACTGGAGCCGTAATGACACTTGACCCCTACTCTGAATGAACAGATTTTGTTAAGCGTTTCCTGTGACCATTTTCACAGTGATGGGCTGAGAAAAAAGAAAAAAAAAAAAAGTAGAAATTAGCATGAATTATTTGTCAGTCATTTTTGCACTATACATGTATTTGTGGATTTAAATAAAGTGATTTTTTTATTGTGTGTTTGCTGTGTTTTTGTGATCAAGTTGAATATTACCTTGCTGCAGTAAGGACATTCTCCAAACACAATATTGAAGCTTTGGCGACTGGTGGGCAGACCTCTCAGCCACTGTGAAGACAAATAACTCAACAGATGAAATAAATACTATCAATTAAAAACTTTAGAAAATTGCATACTGGTCTCAGCATGGTAATCTACGATTGTTCTGTTGTTTACAATACTGTTAAACTTTTATTTATTTTTGTATGGGCTGAGGGTCAGTGTTTCCGATTGCTGAACCTGAAGCTCTTACCTCATAAAGACACACTTGATGGAAAGGCTGGCCACAGCGCGGGTCATTGCAGACCTGATCTGGAATAGCTGACTCAAGTCGATAAGAGTAGCAGATGCCACATTCAACACTGAAACTCTGTGTATACACAGCAACAAAATAAGATAAGCTTTCAAATGTACAAGCTTTCAATGAAGGAAAAAGATATCTTGGTGTATCCCATAATGACATTTATGTCATCATTTACTCACCTTTGTGTTGTTTCTGATCTGTAGGATTTTCTATTTTTCCTTGGAGCACAAAAGGAGAAATTTTGACAAATCTACCAGTTATTCTTATATGCCATTAAAACGAATGGGGATAGAATCTTTTAATTTTCATAAAAGATGTGTATAAAAGCAGCATCATAAAAGTGGTCCACTCATAAAATATATCCTAAGTCTTTTGAAGCTAGATAGCTTTGTGTGAGAAACAGTTTTTTTTTTTAAACCGATAACCTTCCTTTCCAGTAAGCAGAGTTGATGTTAATTAAAACTGAAAATTTCTGTAATTTAAATAAAGCTGAAATAAAGTATAAATATAAGATGCAAATTGAACATTTAGAAAAGTTTGCCTTGGCAACTGAGTCAGTGAGTTGAATTTGTGAATGAATCATTCAGACTGGTTTTGTGAACTGGATCAACTGATTCAATTAAAATATTCAGCAACTCCAAAAAAAAATATATATATATATAAATGCACTGATTTTCAGTAAACAATGATTTTGATTTGTACTTCACACTAAGTTTTAAAATTCTTCGTAGGAAGCATGGACCACTTTTTTTTTTAATCTTAATCTTAATTTAAATCCAGTCTCCATTCATTGCATGGTTGGTAAATAGTGACCAGTACTGTACATTGAAACAAAATTTCTCCAGTTGTGTTCCACTGAAATCATTCAGAAAGTCATACAGGTTTGGAATCACATGATGGTGAGTAAATAATCACTGTGAGTTAATGGTGAAAATAATATATATATAAAAACTAAAACTAAATGAAAAGCATCACTTTCATATATTGTACCCCTGAGTCTGATCTGAAATTCTGCATTTGAAATTCACTCTCCCTGCTGGTGCGCGGCAGCTCATATTTGTTCCCACAGGGTGAGGAGACTCAGGTGGACTCATCAGCCCTATATATGCTTGACCCCCTCTTCACACCCAACCCCCCCACCCCCATGCTTCTGCTCTCTTCTCCTCCACTGTCCGTGTTTGCATATTGCTGTTCAGATAATTAGAGGCTTTTTTTCCCCTAAGCAATCCATCAAAAGGATAGAAGATAAAAATTTCAACATCTGGTCAAGTAAACTTTTCTCGCTTCAAAATGTTAATGATGGTCAAGCATTAATCTGCGGTACAGACTGTGAATAAACACTGCGCCCTTTCAACCCGCGGGCTGAAAGAGAGAAAGCATAAAAAATGCACACAAGGAGAAAAAGATAAATGGCGGAGCTATGATTAAACAGCTCTTGATAGTGCTGAAGATTCTGTCGCCTTTGTTATTGTAATGATCTTATCTGTAAACAACCCAATTAAAGGAAATCCGTACCCACCTCTCCCGATGATAAAAACAAAGAGAAAAGAAGGTGGGAAAAACAACCCTGCAAGCTTCAAATGTGATGGTGCTGTGGAACTAATTGTAAGTGGCAGTGTACGAGATGAAAATATGCAACGTACAGATTTTTCGTGGGTGGTAGGTGATGGAAATTCTATCTCCAACACATCCTTCATATTCTGTAGGACACTGCAGTCAGGGTTCCTATGAGGAGAGAAGGAAATCAGACCTTCATACACTAATTAAACGCATACAGTCAAGTCATGATGGCATAATGAATACAGCTCAGTGATTACTGCCCAAAAAAATCCAGGATATCACTGTGAGAATCAACATTCTGGGCCAAGACATTCTCACCATGTGGTTTCTGATTCATTTTACACTGTAATACAGATATCCACTGAACAATATGTGCGGCATGCACATGAAATGGCAAATTTGCATTGAAATATGCAACATCCACTTTGATTCCTCATTAATCATGTTCAACCTCCTTCGAAAAAAAAAGAGTAGTCAGAATCAAACAGAAATGTATAATTATTTGCTTACCATAAATGCATATTAGCATTCAACTTATTCCTTAAAGGAGTGACAACTGAAAGACACAAGCAAGAGTTATAATTACAGAATTATAGTGACAAAAGTCAAAAGTACAGCTGCTTCAGTATTAAGTTGATACTAGCAAACAATACTAATAAACAATGTTTAATGTTTTTGGTAAGATTTTTTAATGTTTATGAAAGAAGCTCACCAAGACTGCTTTTATTTGGTCAAAAATACAGCAAAACAGTAATATTGTCAAATAATATTACTTTATTTTAATATATGTTTTAAAATGCAATTTATTCCTGTGATGGCAAAGCTGATTCAGCTTTCTCCAGTGACACATGATCCTTCAGAAATCATTCTAATATGCTGATTTGGTGCTCAATAAACATTTCTTATTATCACTGATGTTAAAAACAGTCTGTTACACATTTTTCCCCCAGGTTATTTGAATAGAAAGTTCAAAAGAACAGCATTTATTTGAAATGAAAATCTTTTTTTTAACTCTATAGTTGTCTTTACTGACACTTTTGATCAATTTAATGTGTTTTTGTCGAATATTTTTTTTTTTTAATGGTTGTGTATATTGTTTACAAATATATCCATATGAATCCATATTCATTTAAATTAAATCATTAATTTAAATATTAACTAATTATTAAAAAATGTAACTATGTCAACTAATTTTTTTATTTACTATTTAATAAAATAACAAGTATGGACATTTAACCTTTAACTTTTATTGAGAATTGTTAAATTAAGTAAGCTGTTATCTGTTCTGTCACATCTTAAATTATTCAGTATTAAAACATACACACTTATTTATGTATTTTGTAATAGCAATCCACACTGGACTTCATAATGTTTGCAAAGCACTGGGGGACAAAAATGCCATCAACATAAATCATATCAATCAATCTGCATGGCAAAAACAAGCCCGAGGGAGTGTTGTATATGAAGGCAAGAACTGCGCTCACCCCCCCAATGTAGCCGAGCAGTTTCAATTAACTCTACCTCATCTCTCATTCAGCGTTCCTCACCTGATCGGAGAGCACTGACAGACAATGCACAGCCGTGTCATTTCTTACCTCTAATCTCTATTCTCTCGAAGAAATGCCACAGCAGAGCGGGCGAAAGAACAGGGCATTTCCCATTGTGACAAACAGTCTGACAGAAAGGGAAATATTCAAATAATTCAAATAAAACGCGCTCATCATGGCTGTTCCACCCGAGAATGATGACCCTAGTTAACAGAGCGCATTGTTATCTGTTCTGTCACATCTTCAATTATTCATTATTAAATCATAGAGACTTATTTATGTTTTTTGTAATAGCGATCCACACTGGACTTCATAATGTTTGCAAAGCACTGGGGGACAAAAACGCCATCAACATAAATCATATCAATCAATCTGCATGGCAAAAACAAGCCCGAGGGAGTGTTGTATATGAAGGCAAGAACTGCGCTCACCCCCCCAATGTAGCCGAGCAGTTTCAATTAACTCTACCTCATCTCTCATTCAGCGTTCCTCACCTGATCGGAGAGCACTGACAGACAATGCACAGCCGTGTCATTTCTTACCTCTAATCTCTATTCTCTCGAAGAAATGCCACAGCAGAGCGGGCGAAAGAACAGGGCATTTCCCATTGTGACAAACAGTCTGACAGAAAGGGAAATATTCAAATAATTCAAATAAAACGCGCTCATCATGGCTGTTCCACCCGAGAGATCAATCTGGGAGGAACGTGATAGCCACACTCTCTGTTTGTCATTTGTAAATGCAAAAAGCAATATTTCTGTCTGACCCCACGCTCGGAGTGTCCGCGACTGCCACCGTCTTGACTACTGAAGTGTGGATTTAATATCAATGAATAACATTGCTAGGCAACTGACAATGTGTTCTGTGTGCTATTGTCAGCCAAGCATGACCTTGGATTTAAAGAAACAATCACGGCTGCTTAAATAGTGCAAACTGACCTCCATTCCAGCACCATCTCACTCGAAATCTAAAAGCACATTGCGCCGCAAACATATTGCGGGGCTGTCAGCTCGGCCGCTCCAGCTGTAGCGCTCCTGTCTAAATGCAGTAAAGCATTTACAGCATGTGCACTTATGTACGGAGGTAATTGAAAAACAAGAGCGTGAGAGGGAGGTACGAGTTTCTCACATCCGAGCTGCCTCTCACATGCAGGAAACCGTAATAAAAGCTGTATGGAGATAAACAGAGATTTGCAGATATGAAAAATGCCTACCGTGCTCAGCCCCGAGCAAACAGCACTCCGGCAGCATTTTGGGGTGTCTGGGGTCAATTTGTACCTTTATTGAGACATTGTTTCCTGGGGAAGAACAGCGATATGGCAGCTTAATATCACAGGAAATGATTGTGGATGGGCATAGTTGGATGGATGGCGGGTGATCTGCAAATAATGAGATTTAAATGTAGTAATATGAATGTAATGTTACCAATGGCGATCCTTCTCATGGAGTCTGCTTTTGTGGGTTTTTCTGGTTCCAGTACCCATGTCTGCTCATCTATCTCATCCAGCACCGACCAGAACTCGGACAGAGCCTCCACATTTAGCAGGAACTGACTGTGGACATTGGCTAAAGTGCTCTGGGTATAGAAGAAAAGGGCAATGAATTAGTCTCAGATGTATTTTTCCTGCTTGAGAGGTGGTATTTGACTTATGTTTATCACTAAGCGGCAGTTCACCAAAAAATTTAATTAAATTTTTAAAATTCATTATTTACGAATAATAATATATATATATTTTTTTTTTTACCTTCATTTTATTATTATTTGCCTTCATGTCGTTCCAAACCTGTCTAACTTTCTTGTTTCTGTGGACCACATTGTGAATGGAAATATTTATTATTCTTTGTTGTTGTTATTTTTTAGTTTAGCATACGGTTAAGGTGCTATCATATTAATTTCAACTAAAATTTGTGAAAAAGGTCCAATGTCTGTTGTCAATTGTGTATAAATGCGTATGAATTATATCTCACACAGAAGTCACTTTCAAATCAAGCAGCTATTATGGAGTTATTTTAATGACGCGCGCGCTCAGATACACGCTGCTCTCACCCGGAGAGAGTGCACGCACTTAAAACGTGTCTCCTCTCACTCAAACTGTGTCCTGTGCACTCTCAAATCTCTCTGTGCTCATGCGCTATAGATATTAATTATTTTCGCACCTGAATTAAATGTTGTCAAAAGTTATCAACCAATCAGATTTCAAAGATGGATCTGTAATGTCTTTACAATTTAATACTACTTAGTCATAATATTAGAAATGAAACTGGTGTTTGGATGATTTGTAAAAAAAAAACTAGTTTAACAGTTTGGTCAAACCCTTCTGAACGATCTAAACAAACAAAAAAGCATATGATTCTTAAAATTCATGTGGTCATATAGGTCTATATATATTGTGGTATATATATATATATACTTGGATTGAAATATATATATATATAAATATATCTTCTGATTTAAGACAGAACTATTTAGATATGGGTCAGATGCACTATTCCCTAAACCTATACTTAAGATTTGGAGACCAAATATAACACTATAATGAATTTTTCATATTTGCCATAACATTACTACATTCTATTCTATGGGTTTAATGCATTTGCAGACAATGTAATTACATGTAACTGTCATATAACTGTATATTCACTGTTTTAGAGAAGAGTGCCAGTGAATGTGTAGCTAATATTAAGTGGCTTTTCATGAAAAAAAAAAAAATCTGCTCTAATAGCATCGCTGTTTGGACATTTATTGGGATTTTTTTTTTTTAAATCCAGTGTTTGTTATTGTTATTTCTTGCATCATTTACATCTATTTTTGCACTTGATGTTGAGGAGTTGTTACTTGATGGAGTTGTTGCCATCATACTAACTGAGAATTTATTGCAATGATTTTAAATTCAGTTGAGGTATCTGACATATTATGACATAACATTGATGTTTTATATAAAGTCTTTAGGGCCATAGGCTATAATATGTTGTTTTTAGATAAATTGCTCAGAGACCAACCAGTTGGACAGAGGTTATGTACAAATCATCCAAGCACCCAATTCCTGGCAATTTCTATAGGCTACATTTAATTAACATTGCTAAATATTATTCAACTGGAAAGAAATTAAAGATCCATATTTGATTGTCAAAAGAATTCCAGGTTCAGTTCACTCAGCCAATTATATTTCACGTAGTATTTTCATCGGTCAGTTGTGGAGGTCTGATTGGTTAAAGCTTTATTTATATAGTACCATTTAAAACAGTGTTTACAAAGTAGCCTATTTTACAGAGAGATGCATATGTACATTTGCAGAAAATATCAAAATGCAAACATAAAAGATATAGTAAAACAAAGTAGCTACAATAACCAGTTTATGTTAAAACAAAAATACAACAATAAAAAAAATCAAGGAAAGGCCCTGCACAAATCTGTTTTGAGACTACTTTTTAAAAGTGCATAATGATAACCTTTGACAACGTTTAATTCAGGTGCGAAAATAATTCATATCTATAGCGCATGAGCACAGAGAGATTTGAGAGTGCACAGGACACAGTTTGAGTGAGAGGAGACACGTTTTAAGTGCGTGCACTCTCTCTGGGCGAGAGCAGCGTGTATCTGAGATCGCGCGTCCGGTTTTGTGCGAGAGCAAAAGAAATCCGCGCGAGCGGAGAGATTCGCGCTCGCGCATTGTATTAATGTGCTTTCGCGCTACAATAATGCACTCTCGACATATGTCATTAAAATAACGCCATAGCTATTGGTCAATGTGCAAATTCCAGTGGAAAAAACTGAACCCGTTGTGAAATCTGCTTGAAGGAATCTTTTACCCTTACAAGACTTTCCTCATTGTCTGGATTCCAACTGCAATGACTGGATTTCGCCTGCAAAAATTAGCTGAACGGTGTTAAATGTGACCACACCTTTAGTTGATTAGACTGCTAGCTTAATCTGTACCCTATACATTTTTTTAATTTAATGTTTATTTATGTTTGATAAGACATTACAAACAGCTACCCACTGGGGTCCTAGGTGGACTCAACCAAATTGTTAATCAAACAAAAATGCAACCGAACTTGACAGCCAATGATTATCATGCATCATCATTGCATGGAAAAGAACAGTTCTGATAATTCGTATTTATTTATTTTTTTCCACAGAAGAAAAGTCAAAAGGCGACATTAGGGAGGTGATGAGAGAAAAAAGGAAGTAGCATCAGATCTTTTCTTCCTGGTGTATTGTGTGACATACATCCGAGTGTAACAGATTATTAGAAAAGAACAAAAGTGTAGGACGGGGACTTGTTCTAGTCATTGTTTGTTAATAACATAAGAATGCAAGCTTGCAGTCGCGGTTTAAACGGACTAAATGATCGGAAAAGTCTGCCATACGTCAGCAGAGACAAGTCTGTCATTTTACCAGAAGATCAAGTTTTGATTTAGTCATGCATTGAATAGTCATGCAATTAATCAATTATCATATTTTAATATTTGATTTTTTGTGTTGCATTTAAAATCCAATTGGCTCAAACATTTCGGTTTGAATGAACATGAAGCCTCTCAGTCAGCGGTTGTACTCTTAAACGTTTTCCCGACTCTCAGAAGTGCCTAGATGCTAGAAATAGTATCCTTTTAAAATCTTGTGCAACTCTTGATCTGCAGGAACAACAGGGTTTTTTCTTTTTTAGTCTGACATTGGCTAGGCTGTCTTTAATAACTCCTGAACACTTCTACATATGGAAAATGTTGATACTGTCCACATGTCTGGTTTCATATCACTGCTTTATACAAACTCTTCAGCCCTCTGCCATCAACACTCGGGGAGGAAAAAGAAAAAAGAAACATTCCCACTGAAGTCCTGCCAAGTCTTCATCAACTACCTGTCAACAAACCATTGATTAAAGCACCAACCAAGAACAAATCAAATATAAAAAGTGACTGAACAGGAAAAGACCAAAACTCATAGATCAGCAAACAAGAGAAATTCAGCAATAGCGCTTGATCACAGAGAACCACAGACGACCCATCTACGGTTCAGCATAACGGCTTCCTCTAATTCTAACATACACAAACACAGTAGGCCTCTGTTCCCTTTGGAGCTGTCCAGTGGTGAGGCAGAGCTAATGGTTTGAGTATGACCGCTCATAAATCACAGCTGATGATTGACAGCTGATGGGCTTTGGCCCCGTTTCACTCCATGCTGTCAGAGTGAGGCAGCACAGGTCGCCCACACCGCTGTGACCTCAGACCCACACTCCTCGCTTTCCACCCGACTGCCAATTCAAGGTCTTTAATCTCAGCCCAAAATCAGGACGCTTTAGTCTGGACACCAGATCTTCTCTGCTCAAAGGCACGACCACTGCTTTATTTTTAATGATGATAAATATGAATAGTCTTTTTTAGCATCAAAAAAGGCAACAACTGAAATGAACGTTTTGTGTGTTATCAAAACTTTGAATATATAAAATGATGCCACACTAAGCGCCCATATGCTATAAGCACTGTAAGTACACATATACTGCTGAAGGTAAACTTTCAAAATCAAAACTAAATGATATTTTAATTTAGATATTTTAATTATTTATAATTATCATATCTTTAAATTATCAATTTAATTAGACCAGTGGTTTTAGACCAGGGGAAAGTCTCTGGAAAAGTTTTTTTATTTTTATTTTTTTAACAAAACATATTTTTAGGGCTGTCAAAGTCAATGTGAGAATTTGAAATTAGTTTATTTCATTCTGCTTTTTAAAAACTGGGTGGAAATGAGTATTATGACATTAACTGATGTATTATTTATATTTACAGTCATAGTAAAATGCATATACACACACACACACACTAGCAAATGGCTGCAATATAACAAAGAGTGAAAAATTTAAGGGGGTCTGAATACTTTCCGTACCCACTGTATATCTTGCTATGACTTATTCAATAGGACAAATAGTTTGAAGAATGGACGGATGGATATCTATTTAAAAAGATTTGCTTTCAATTATTTTTAGAAGGGGGTCTCATCATATTTGAGGGTCCTGGTCAAAAAATGTTAGTTGTAGCTTAAAACGTGAACACAGTAAAACAGCTGATTAACCTGTTCTACCCTGAAAAATAAGGATTATTAGATATTAGTATAAAAAAAACGCAGTGTATTTTTAGTGGTCGGTGTATTTTTGCTGTGATTCAAAGGAAAACTAGATTGATTTTCGATTGCGAGATGTTAAATCACATTTGTCAACAGTAATTTTGAAGCATTGTAATATCTCAACAACATAATACAGTCAATCTCAGCTGATTTAAGAGGGACAGAACTGGCTGCATTTAGAGGATGAGATCTCATGTGTTTTTCTTTTGTCACATAATTTGTGTGTGCTGATGTTGATTATGTGCCTGATTCGCTGATACATTTCCATACATGTTAAATTGGAGAGCACAGAGTCAGAGCTGAATGGAGCAGCCAGAGCTGGTAACTGAACATAACAAAACAAATCAAATGACTTTTTTTTTTATTTTTTTAAGACAGGCAAGGGATATGCAGATAGGAACATCAGAAAAACAGCATAGTAATCTGGATAAATCTGGTCTTTCTTAATACTAGAACATATTAATGTGAATGAGATTTTTCCTGATGCCACTCAGGATAGGATGCTTCGATATAGGAAGGAGAGCATAAAACAAATATGATGGGTCATTGTGCCAATACAGCACACACAATTTAGCATTGCACAGGTGCAAAGACACAGCAATTATTTCCCAATTAATGCCGGTTGTGTGATTATAGTTATGCTTTTATTTAAATATATGGTGCAGGCGAGATGTCCTCATAATTGAATTTCTCTTGGAAATGTGCCTGAAATGTGGAGCGGCACAATGGATTCCTCCCCAGTGAGGTGACAGCATGCATACTGTTCTGTTAACTCTCCCAATTAGGTCCCTCCTCATAATGTTCAATGGTGCATTTTCAGTCATTTAGTGAACAAGTGTCAAGTAAATAAATCAATAATTGCACACAGAGAAATATGTATTCCTTAATGCTCATAGTCTATAATTGTGATTGTTAAGGACCCACCACGCAATGAAGCAATGCTGGGCTAAACAAATTATTATTATACTAACACACAATACATAGTGGAAAAGTCATAAATGACCTCTAAATGAGTACTACCATTCTTTGAAGCACAGTACCTTAGAGTACAATATAAACATAAATGTACATGAATATGGTAATCATTCATTATCACTGTATAGGGTTGAATCAATAACACAGTCTTGGTCATTGGTATCTCAGTATAGCTAATAAATGGATACCTTTGACAAGGAATTTAGACCATTTAGTAGTGCTGTGTTCAAAATATCGATACGACGATGTATCGTCACAGAGATTTGACGATACGAGTATCGATACAGCTGGCCCTGTATCGATATTGTGGCACGTGTGCAGCAGTGGACCATGCTTAATTTGTTTAAAATTTTACAACGTTTAAAATTGAGTAGAAAAGTGCGAGGTTTCTAAAAAAGAATGAATAGAGCATATATATAGGCTACAACAAGGTTTAATCTGGCCGCAGAGGAACACAACTGGGTTGCCTGATATAAAGAGACGTAATCCCCGAAACAGAGCTTTACACTTGCGCAATACGGAAACAGGGCTGTACAGTGCGACATATTGCGTCCGATACAGTTTTGCATGTTCATAACACAGCCGCTTAATAGTGTGAAGTGATTTCGTTGTGCTTGTTTGTCTGTGTGAGATTGATTATACTTGGTAGTTAGGGGTGTGCGCTATGACGATTTTTGATAGTGAACGATTAAAATGTCTCCACAATCTGCTTTTGAAGAAATATCGTTGTATCGTGCTACAGTTCAGGCGTCTCCCTCAGTCTCAATATAATGTACAACGCCACATGCATTCACATCAGTGTTAGCTCAGCAGTAGAGTTACACTCACGGGACACTGCACTTATGCGCAGTCACAAAACTACATTATTTCCATCTTCTTTAAAGCAATACCGGTTAAACATTTTTACAACAAAGTTGTCTTTCGCGTCTAATACTGTCAAAAACACACAAGGATTACATATAAACACAGTTGGTCATGTCTGAAATGAAAGTAAACAGATGGTACGTGAGAGGCAGGCAGACAGGCCTTTCTCTTCCCTGAACAGAGGAGATGAATCAAGACATCAGCAGCGCAGCAGGACTTCAGCCGACAGAAGGCTGCTATGTGCTGAGCTGGTCTTCTCTGTCAGAGAGCCATGTTCCACTGCCATCCCTCACCCAACACAACGCACAACCCTCCCTAACTCACACCACTGCTGTGCAATATGCCAAGTCTCTTTCATCCACCTCAAAGTAATTGGAGCAAACGTATGACTGAAGAGGAGCCTGTTTTTCAGGGGAGGAGGCGAAAACATAGGACGATGATAAAAAGAAACGACAGTGAAAAATGGGTCTCCGTTCTCGCTTTTAATTGTTATACGTAAGAGGAAACTCGTCGAGGCTCATTAGAGGCTGCTAACATATGTAGCCTTCCAGATCGCCATCCTGTCAGTTTATTTGGCACAGTTTGAGCCTTTGTGAGCGGAGTTATTGTTTTTTATGGAAGCAACATCAAAGTGGCGGTGGAACGGAACACCTTTTATCAAGAAAAACACTCCTTCAAATGCCAAAAACAAACAAACACTTTGTTAATTAAAACAATTGCACTTTCATTGTTTTTCTAAAAAAAAAAAAAAAAAAAAAAAGGACAATTTTGGTAATATGATAAAAAGCCAAATCAACTTTTCAATAACAATTTGTTCTGTTCAAAAAGTTTTAAGTAATTTATGACTACCTGAGAGGTCCACATGATGACCAATGGAACAGGGAGATCTGCAGAAAACTCTGGGGCCTCAGTTGGATACTAAACAGATAGAAAAAAGACAGAGATATATAATCACAGTTTAAAACAGTATATATGGTAAGCAAGTAGTAATTTAGCAGATGCATCATGCTTTTATCACTAAAAATGTTCATGGAAGTCTGGAATGGTGTTTTTCAAATATTAAAGTGTAAAAGGTAATGCATTAATGCTTATTACTGCGTTTTGTTATGTATATAATTATTAAATATCATCCTTCCTTGTGCTTATTTAGTGAAAAACATTGTAAAAAACATGCTTAGATTATTTATAACTAGATTTTTTTACTTTTAATCTACTTGGCAAAAATGGCAATTTGAATGAAATGATGGCTCCTGCTAGTAATTATAATTATAATATAATTATAATATTATAAAAAGTATAAAAAAAAAGTATACTCAAAAGTTTGGGGTCAATTTTTTTTAATTTTTTTAGAAGTGACAGTAAATTACAATATTACATAAGATATCTATTTCAAATTAATGCTGTTTCTTTTGATCTTTCTATTCATCAAAATGTCACCATTTCCACAATAATACTGAGCAGCACAACTGATTTTAACATTGATAATAAGAAATGTTTCTTGAGCACCAAATCAGTAGAATTTTTTCTGAAGGATCATGTGACACTAAAGACTGGAGTAATGGCCGCTGGAAATTCAACTTTGCCATCACAGGAATAAATTACATTTTAAAATATATTCAAATTGAAAAACAGTGATTGCGGTACTATTGTTCTTCATTTTGGTAAGGCTTAAGGAGCATAAGAGACTTGGAATAATGACAATGGTATATAATATGAATACTAAACAGTAGTGCATATTATATAACATTATATATTATTTATATATAAAATTAAATAATAAATGAATACAAGTACTGTTAAAAATATTAATAATACACTTATAGTAATAAAATTACTAGGACAACTTACCAGAAGACCTTTCTTATTGAGCCTCTTTAAGCTTGAAATTCTCTTACATATGTTTCCACGCTTCAACCAATAATACAACTATGTGTATGACCCCACAACCCACATTTCCACCAGCAGCAGAAATGCCTTTACTGGCTCCTGTTGAGTAAGCTGCTGCTGGGTGACGGAGGGCCTCGTGAAAGGTGCCCGGCTCTGGGAAGATGAGCAGATGTGAGGTGGGTAGATCACGGCTATTTTTAGCACCCAGCAGGACGGTGGGCACAGGGGGCTTCTCACGCCCTGCTGAATCTCATCAGGACCCCGTGCAGTGTCCGCAAGGAGCCACTGGCATCTATACCATGCCACCACTTGCAATGCCAAGCAGAGCTCACTCACACACAGCCCGACTTTCAGACTAAACCACTCACACGCCACAATTTTCTGCTTCTTCTGTGGCCCCTGTAATCACCTTATGAGGATCACTCGTGGTCTTATCTGTGCCACCGCATCCCTGCACACTCGCTCACCTCTCCTTCAGGCCCTGCCACAATCTCACAGCTCCATCTCTCAACATAATCTTACAGTCACAGTACATTAGCGCCACATGCTTAAAGTTAGATACTAAACCAAAGTTCTGCTCCTTCTGCAGTCCAGCTGAGTCTGAGAATCCTGATACAGAAAGCTGTGTGAACTAGTCCAGCCATCTGTGACCCACAAAAATCAGAAATGTGCAAATTAACTAAATATTTTAAGTTTCTTTTTTTGTGAACCCTAATATGAAACTTATTTAATAAAAAAGGAGAGGTTTTCACATTTAGAAAAATGTGGCTCAATTTTGACAGTTTATAAATAAATTGCAGTATATATACAGTATATACATACATATATATATATATATATATATATATATATATATATACACACACACACACACACACACACCATTCACACCATTCAAACGTTTAAATTTTAATTATAGTTTAAATTGTATTATACTAAAACGATTATCTTAAATTGTAAAAATGTTTCACACTATTTCTGTTTTTAATGCAGCTTTGGTAAGCATAAGAGATAAATAAATCTTATTTATTTTTCTAATATAAATAATCATACTAAATTATTGTGTTAAATTGACGAACCTAGTTTTTACTGAATGCAAATCACAAAACTCTTAAATAAGGACCATGCTAAACTGACCATAAAATAAAAACAGAGAAAATAAGAAATAAAATAGGGCTTGACCCTTGGCTTCACCTTGGACTTGAGCTTGACTGCAATGGCGTGTTGACGACCTGCAGAGTCCTCTGCCTTCAGCTTGAGTGTGCGGAACTCTGCATCGATGAAGAGCAGTCTGCCAAAACAGATCAATAGCACCACACATGGTTTTGGTTGATTTCTTCATTTAAAGATGCTCGTCAGACCTACACAATTCTTTCTCCCGGCCAACAGTGCGGAAAGTCTTGAATCGACTACAGCGACCACAGCTGATTTATTGCTAAAATTCCAGCACTTCACATGACACTTGCATTTCAGCAGCATATTTACGAGTCGTATAACAGCATATCGCGGTTAGTCCATTCATGCACACTTTACTCTGAGTGTTCCCATCGGCTAAAACTGCAGGATCACATATCAACATTCTGTCCCTAAGCACTTAGATCCACATAAAAACTCTGGGAGAAGAACTTCTACACTTTATTGGCTCAAATTTTATTTTAATTTGTAAAAAAAAAAAAAAAATGTAAATGTCAAGAAAACCTAAAAAAAAAAGGAAATAATTCATATAGATTTTTTAAATACTTTTTTTGTTGAAGTTCTGTACACTATTCTGTATTCAAGGTGCAAGGGAAACATTTTATTACTTTATTTTTGTTGTTTACAATTGACTAATATACTAATATAATATACATGTACAATTGATATACAAGTGCATTCATTTACTCAACATCAATGCATTGATTTATTCCAGGTTCTAGTTTAGAGAGCTGTCTACGTTTTGAGGTGGCTGGAGAACAGGTTGGATGGATTTCCCCAAAAGTAGCATCAATTCTTGGTCGTTTTCCTGCTGTCTTCAGACCATATGGGAGCACTATAACCTTCTGCTCCGGACTTGACACTTTTGAGAGCAGATCAGTGGCTGTGGATGAGGTCTTGCAGGAGCTGAGGAGAGAGGCATCATTCACCTGTCTCATAGGCTGGAGAGATGAGGTGAGACATCTCTGGTACATGCTAGATAATTACACATCTTCATTCTTATCTCTTGGGCAGTTGTTTTGAATTTTTATTTTTCCTTTTTCATTTAAATTTTAGTTCAAGTTTAGTCATTGTTGTGTGGTTTTGTCATTTTTAGTAGTTTTTGTTTATTTTATAAATGTCTATATAGTTTTTATTAATTTTTAATTCAGTTTTAGGTATTTAAATACATCGTTAAATTAAACGAAAATGAGAAATATTGCCTTGGCAACTATGTGAAATAAAGTTTTTTACATTTTATTTTATTTCATTTAACGGTTACTTTATTTCAGGTAACAAAAATGTTTTTTTTTTTGTGGATTTAGTTTTAGTTTCAGATTTAGTTCTTGACTCTTAAATTCAAGCTCAGTGTCAACAAGTGCATCAATTCAAATTCTTGTTTTATTTATTTTTTTATTAATTTCAGTGACATAATTATCACAAAGCAGTTGCTCATTTGTGCGTAAAATAATATTAATGCATATTGTGATTGTCTGTTTATCCAAAAAAAAAAAAAAAAAAAAAAAAAAAAACTTAATACCACCACTCCCAACCAATAAAATATAGAATGACTTAACATAAGTGATCACACTGAAGAAAAGTAATGTTCTTCCTCCGTATTTGTCTTGTTTTCCAGTGCAAATGTCTAAATATTCTTAAATCAAGAGACACTTACTTGAGAAGTACAATGACGTAAGAAGTTTTGTTTTCTGTGAAATTGATCAAAATGAAGAGTTTGATTAAAACAAGAACAATGTTGTAAGATATCTGCCAATGCGCTCAGAAAAATGTATTTAATTCAAAAGGAAAACAAGTTCTCATACCCCACTAACTGATATTTGTTCATGTTTTAAGCATAAACTCACTTAATTATGTTAAATTTTCCAGAAAACAAGACTTCATTCTGCATCTCGAGCAAATGTATCTTGATTTAAGGACAATGGGATATTTATTCTAGAAAGCAAGACAAAAATACTGAGGAAGATATTCATTTTTTGCAATGCATGCAACATTTAATGTAACAACTATTATAATTTAAAACTGTCTGCTCTGATTTAAGACCTTTAAAGGCCTTAATTTGTAGAAAGGCAAATTAAGACTTTTTTAAGACCAACAGAAAGCCTGTATGTAAGCTTAGTGAATGCAAATGTATAATGTACAGCTGCTATTTTATAGATTTTTATGAATGTATATTATTACATTTTAAAAAGTGCTTTGTTAGCTTATTTTAAAACCATTAATGGTGACATTGGTGGTAACATTTGTGAACACTGTTTGTAATTTTTAATGCAAACATTTTGACAGATCCACCTACAAACTATCTTTTTTTTCTCTGTTCCAATGTTCAAAATGTCCTTAATGCTCTGTGTTTTTCTCTCACAACCCATGAAGCAATGGGATAAATCTTTTGCATCGCATTCAATTACATGAGCTTTTGGCACAAAATCACACCAATCATTCATTTCCTCAAAATTGAGATCTCTTTTGTGAGCTGGAACCCCATTCAGCCACTCTGCATTCTACAGGGATCTCCCGCCACAGTATCAGGCCTTGCTGGCGTTCACCTCAGTTGATTGAAACAGCTTGACGGCTCGATGTCTTGCTGGGAGGATTGATGAGAGCATTACATTTGCAACTAGAAAATCAGCTCCCCTCATAAATGGCGAAGGAACATTTGGCATGTTTGCATACAAACAGGCCATAGATGAAAGTATAAAGCTGTACAAAAAAATCGGAAGAGTAAGATGAGGAAAACACAAACTCTAATACCGCCAAGGCCACATTTGCGAAGACTTTTCATCACAACTTTCCAGATATGCAAAAAGCCAGCTGCTGAGAATAGTACAGTTATTCCATTCTCACAGGTGCCACCAGGGATCATGGGTTTTAAGATATAACTGCTGGCTAGAGTGAGATGGTGAGAAGACCAGCCAATAGGAAACCTGCTCAGGTGTCATTATCTTGGCGGGGTGTTAAAAGACCACAGCGAGAGGCCCCGTGCTTCTCTCTCATACATGTGCAAGGTGTGACAAACTCTCACCATGGCTCCCATGCACCAATTGTCTAAAAAAATCTGAACCGTTTCAGATGACAAACGCAATATCTCACAGTGAAATGGGAGCAAAATGGGATCAAAGTCAAAATATTCAAGTTTCATTTACTTATGACCTAACGCTTTGCTGTGCTATTCCAAATAGCATACTTAGACTGCACTATAAAGCAGCCAGAGACTGATGTTTTGTAATTTTCTAAATATCTGACTCTTTTGAACTATTCTGGGGATAAGAGGGGAGAACAGACCTGACCCCATCTATACAGTAATTAACAGTAAACGTGGCTTCTTCAAGGCAACTAAAACTCATTAAAATGACCAGGTTCTGCGGCACTTCCCCCTTCCTAAACCAATCAGGGTCCGCTACTGTGCCGGACTTGAGGCTATTAACAGAGACACGAATTAAGGATCTTAATTAATCTCAAGTGCATTTACAGATAGCGCTGGTGTATAATACTTCTGACCGCAATTCAGGTCTGAAACGTGCACCTTATTTCCAGCCTAACTTTTCAGCCTACATTTCCCCATTAAACTTGAGAGTGGGTCTCCAATTAGACCAATTTGCATTTGCTAATATCATAATTATATCTTTGGACATTAATAGAAAGTGGAAAATGAGAAGCCTAGTGAAATCACAGCTTGATACATGGCTGACAGACACCACATTAGCCTCTTCTATTACAAAGCAAGAAATCTGACAGGCTGTTTTCATGAAACTATAGTAACTTTAGTTGATGACAGAAGTACGTGCTATTAATGTCCTACACATTTACAGTAATGCAAAGGATTTGTACTGTATGTAATTATAAGAGAACACAACGCAATGTGAGAAGCACTAGGCCAATAGAAACATCATACTTATCCCATCCTAAGATCTCCATTTCTGTTATCAGCTGGGAATAATACTGAGGTGGTGAGAAAGACTGACATCCTGGTTGGCTCTTCAATGCCACTTCCTGATAATAGACAAGCTCGTAATGAGAATCATTTATTCTATCTGCGGGACTCATGTGCTTATTATGGTAATATGATGCTGAACATTACATCATGTATAACATTTGTCAACATGAATATGGTAATGTCCAACCCCGGGGATAAATCATGCAATATTTTAAGAATATTTACCAATACTGTCCTGAGTTCCAGGATAAAAGCCATCAAATTAGCTGAATGCTGTAACCTCTGTTCAAAGAAAATAAATACAAATACTGTGATTAAAGTAGAACATACAGAATTTCAAAACCAGCACCTGTCATTTGACTAATGAGAGTGACCATTAGAGTTAATTATTAATCATTTTAAATTCATAAGTCAAATAAAACTGTTAAAATGACAATAATAAAAATCAACGCTTTATACGTGACTTAAATATACTGGCTCAATATTATATACACAAACTTAAATGGAATGAAAAAGCTTTTCACTAATTTAAAAGCACTTTGGTAGCTTTATCAAAAAGTACAAATATGAAACTGATTAGTATAGAGTATTTTTGCAATATTTTACAATATGGAATATTTTGTTATTAGTGTAATTGAGTTTTATTATTTACTTATTTATGACATTTTACATATGATCATAAATTGTATATGGTGTAATGTTCTTCACGTTGATTGATACATGTTGTTTAAGTTCTTTGTTACCTCAATAAAAAAGGCAAAGACAATATACACAGAAATAATATTCGATGGACATCACATACAAGAAAAAACTACTATTAAAGAAATACTATTTCAGTCATACTTTGCCTGTTTCATCTGATGATCATGCGGTAGAGATATTCTTATCCTGAAGTCTTTTTCCTGTCAAAGATTAAATAATGAGAAAAATGTGAGACTTGTGACAATCGCTTCACTGGTATACGATTCACACGACATTACATATCCACACTGTAAACGCAGCTGACAACCTACGCTGTCTTCTTTACCATGACTGTGAACTGAGATGTGAAACTTTTCTTACCAGTACTGTGATGAAGCCGTCATAGACTGTCTTCTCCTTATTAAGCGCAATGATCATAGGGCTTTCTCTCATCAGCAAACAGCTCATGATGAAAAATAAGTATGTCAAAGCACGGGCTGAATATAAACCGCTAGCTAAACACCTATTTAGATGTCTCGACAATAAACTAAAACATATAAACACAAACTAAAGCTTTACAGGCATAAACATTTCAATCGCTGCAGTCAGAAGCTTCTTCCACTATTGTGATACAGGCAAAGCGAAAGTAACTTCCCGCGAAAAGACTCGAGCGTCGCTGACGTCATTAAAGTTTGAATGACCGAACTTTATTTGAACTAATTTGCAACAGGATTTAACCACATAAGGCCTGTTTAACTGTTAATATTTGAATAACCAAATCTATCACTGCAATATATCGGCAGTGTACAGAATCTCAACATCTCGTAAAATAAAGGTGCTATTGCGCAATATGTGAAGTTTAATATTAGTTAATCATTTGATGGATGATTTAATTCGCTTCTTTAATTAAAATCAAACCAAGCAAACTACACACAGTGCAAAAGGTAGGCCCTAGGTCCCGTGTGATGCAACGTTATTTTAGGAGCATTTTGCAGCAGTTTTATGACTTCCGTCCTCCAAACTAATTCCAGTATCGCCATATTTTTTGTTGTGTCTGTTGGGTGAACAAGTGAATGCAATAAACCCAAACTTGCATAGATATAGTCAACTATGAAGAGCTTGAACAGTGTTTTCAGGACTGACATTTACAGGTAGGGGCAAATTGTCACACGTTTTATGAAATCATACAATATTGTAGTAAATTATTTGTGGAAATCGGTCGATGTAGGTTTACATTTTTACCCTTTTTTTTTTTTTTTTTTACAAATACAGAAACGGAGTATTTGTAGCCTATATGAAATTAACAATGCTTTTTTTGGCTGAAATATCATTTAAATATAATTACTTTTTTAAATGAATGTTTTTATATTATTTATGTTTTTTTTAGCTTTTTAGATTAGACTTAGATTATTTTAACAATTAAACTTAATAAAAAGTAATTAATGTCGTCCCCTTGGAAGTTTGCTGAGGCTCCTTAATGGGCCATCTAGTTGATATCTTGTTTAAGGCATGTTTCAGTGTGATGATAAATGATCTTTTAAATATTTGTTTTAACTGGGCAAAACGGTGGAAATCTTAAAGATGATGATGATTATTATTTGTAGCCAAGATTATGGTGTCTATGTGTTCATACAGAAACTGATTCTGAGAAATATTCACTGGGCTAAATGGTGTGACACATAGCCACAATATCCCAAATGTCAGCATATATCAGTTGTTCTCTGACAGGTTTCCTTTGTGGCAACACTCCACTTAAACATTTCTTTCCCCCCAATAGACAGCATCTGTCTTGCATTAATACTAGTGAAAATATAAAACGTGAATAATAACTTTACCCTGTCCTTGTCATTTTCTGCTCTGATGCTATGGATGCAGATGTCTATGGATTAATGTTTTGATGTCTAATTCCCTCTTCATTAAACATCACAGGCTCTAATATGCAGTGTTTTTTTAATTCCAAAAATGCTCAAATATTCAGTAAGGCTGCCTTTAAGCAAACACACATTATTACAACTGAGAGCTAATTATTAATCATTTTAAATTCATAAGAAAATAATGAACTTTAACTAGTTAGGGTACCGCATAAATCTAGGCAGGGCAAATCATAAATCTGGTCTTTTTACCCTAGAGGCATAGGGAAAAAGCTTTTTCCCCCATGCCAAACATTGCGTGTTAATTAAGACGTATTTCTAGAATGATGAGAAATAGCTGCAAACTATTTCCTTTTCCTATTGTACCTGCTTCACAATATGTTGATATCCATGAAGTAGCCGTTTCATTTGCCAGCAACAATGCAATCTGCGGAGTGTGTGATTGTATATTGCTTGTGTAGAGTGTCAAGCGTGCGTGCTACACATTGTGCCTGGAGAGATTGATGTTTTGTCATCCACCTGCTTCTAAGCTGTAAAAGCAAGCGCAGCAAAGGCAAATCTACCCAGCTTCAAAATCCAAACAAAGAAATCTTAGTGGGCTGTTTACATATCTGTGGAAGGATATCTGTGCTTGTGTTGACGGGGTGCTAGAGTGGTTGAGAGATCAGTCCCTGCACAATGGGTGAGTGTTAAATGCTTTTTTTTTTGTTTGCGACAGTGAGGAACAATTTAAAGCGATTTTGGCTCTGACTGTGGTTTGGAGAGGGTGAGCCTGGCAACCTCACATAGGGAGAGAGAGAGAGAGGGGTTCCTATTTCCCTTCACATGCAGATTGTTACAGCCGAACACTGCACAGGGTTAATGGCAATCCTGAATAAAGGATTTAAACAATTATGCTTTTCAGAATTGCTGGAGAAACGCAGATTATTTCTTTTCTCCTGCTATTGCCTTATTCCTGCGGCATCTGCTTTTCTTTTATACCTTTTGAGGAGCGTGATCTATTGTGCATTGTTTATCTCCAGCCATGGTCACTTCTCTGGAATGCAATTGGCTGGAACTACATCGTGTGGGTCTTGCTCCCTGCTTTTTTCCCTCTCCCTCTCTCTCTAACAGATTATTTTGAAGCGAGACAAGAGCAGGGGTGGCCGATTTATCGCGCCTCTCTCTCTCTCTCTCTCTCTCCCCTTGCCATGCATTAATCTGAATGAGAATAAGGACTATTGTTCTTTTCCGATCTCGGTAGACAAGCTTTAATGCTGTTTTTACGAACCGGTTTGAAAATATATCGTTATTGCTAGATTGTGGATCGTGAGATCCTTTTATAGGTGATGATTTATCTAAGCTTCCTCCAGTTTCTCATATACGATCAGATTAGAACATGCTTGATTGTAATGGGTTTTGTGCATTTTTTATTTAGTATTTGTAAGTTTTAGAGAACATTTCAGAAAAAAAAAGATTATATTAAGAATATTGCATATTTTTTGTTATTATTATTAGTATAGTATTTATTTACTAATATAATATATAACATGATATTATTTTATATATATATTGTTTTTTTAGATAATCTAAACTATATATTAATTTGAGAAATTCTTCAAATAAATATATATATTTTTTGCTATTTATATAGTTTTTTTATATCTGTTTATATAATTTTATTATAGTATGTTATAAATTAGAAATCTAGATTTATATGTTTACGTTCTCAGCCCTGAACACCTGTGCATACTAAGCAGACAGCGAGAATGAACCACTATGATGTAGACTTTGGCATGTGTATTAGTTGTAGCTTTACCAGAGCTCCCATAGCTGCCCATTATTTGAATGACTGGTGTAATGAGACGGATCAAACCTGGTGCTGAGCTGACCAGGGAAAACGTGCATGTCAGCTATTTGGCCAGGGTCCTGGACCATCATTACACTTTCTTTATGGAGCCATTCAGACTGTACATGAAGCACAATATGTCAGTGGAAATTAAAATGTCCCAGCACTCTCTCCTCGTTCCTGATCATTTACTGTGCGCACTGGCCGTTAGCCTTTGCATGTCTGTAATGGGACACCTTCCCATGTCTCACCACCAGCCAAATACTTCAAAGTTATATACTGCTTGTATATAGTTCACCAGTGACTAAAAGTCAAAAAAGTATTTTAAAAAATCTGATTGTACCTTGGTGAATATCTACAATAAGGGAGACTGGGGCTAATTGTCACACCTTTCAAATATCTAGTTTAAAACCCTCTTAAATTAAAATATTTTTTGGAAATTGTTCACCAAACTAAAATTACAGCATCATATCTTTGCCTTCGTTAATGTTTAAACAAGTAAATGTAATAAAACATTCAAGAGTCAAGTATATATAATGAAGGTAGGTTTTAATTGAAAGATCAGGTCAGGTTGGGGCAAATTGTCATGTTTTTTAATTTATGGCTAAATTTGTGCTGTATTTGTGGCTAAAATAATGGTTTGATATTTTTTGTTACGGTTTATGTTATCATGAAATGGCATATTTTTTATTGTTTTATTTCAGTATTATAGAAATTGAAAATCTTTCAAAAATCTTTAAAAAAATGACTTCATAAAAATATTTTTGTTTTCTGTTACTGTTTATTTTATTGTGAAATGACATATTTTTATTGTTTTATGTATTTCAACACATCTGCTAATATAGAAATAAACTTTCAAAAATGCTTTCAACAATAAAATAAAAATAAAAAGTGTGACAACTAGCCCCAAGTCCCCCTTTATTGTATGTGCCAACTGTAGCATTGACTATAGTCGGAATTAGCTGAATTGCTTATCCAATTATGCTTAGCTGTTAGCACACTGGCACCCATCCACTACAGTGTGTCTGAATGTACACTACGGCTAATTTGCTGTATCACGCTCTGGACCAAACCCTTTTCTTGTGGAGGTGAGGCAGGCAGTGTGAAGACTTAGCCTGGATTACAGGACTTCAGAGATAGCACTGAATCCAGCCTCCTGTCTGACATGAATTGATCGGATTAGAAAGGGTGGATTCCATCCTTGAGGGGATACCAAGCACGTTGTATATAATTGACTTTTTTTCTCCCTCCATGTCTTGTGGGTTGGCAGCGCTAGCAGAAGGGAATACTTTAGTGGGTAAATATCAGAAAGGACTCGGGTTTGACCAGGTTGGTGGAGGCTTAGGAGTCCGATCGATATCGCTGGTGTTGAGTTGCAGTGGCAGCCCAGGGACACGGCACAGAGGAAGTGTCTCTGCACTGTAATGCTCGACCTGCGCATTCACAGAGGTCCAAACGACTCTGCCATGGGTCTTGTTTCAGAGGGTTTTGGTTGTTTACCTCCTTTGTGCTCCTTTTCATCCACTTCCCCCTATCATTTGCTCTCTTAAAGTTTGCTATTTGCTCATTCACAGTTGAATAGACACACATGCTCCAGCTCATCAGAGTGGCATGGATAAGGTTTCATATTTTTTGGTAAATCCTAAAGATTCAAAAGTAGAACTCTCATTTACAGCTTTGAATTAGGCACATCCGGTAACCTTTGAAGTGTGTGTGGAGAACGATCGCAGTCATGTGAGAAGGGCTTGGTAAATGTTAGGTCACTTCAAAAAAAGTTACAACAGTCTTTGCTCTATACATGAATGTATCTATCTATCTATCTATCTGTCTATCTGTCTGTCTGTCTGTCTGTCTCTGTCTCTGTCTGTCTTTATGATGTAATGAGCCCATTTCATCTTCAATATTGTGTCATTAGACCAGAGTCTCTGTGAAAAATTGCAATTCTTCACATAACCATGTGTTGAAAACTGAGCACCTCTCCCATTTTGGCAAAGAATTAGGTTGAGCTTAATGGATCAATTTTTTGATTATTAAAGCCAAGTCTCTGTGCCGAGGCGTAATGCGTTCAGCATTGATCCCTCTCCAGCCTTTTATTGCCGTTACTCCAGTGGCTCTCACATTTAAAAGATATGTTCACACTAATAAAGATTTTACAAAGTGACATGGTTATAAATAAGATATTTGAGTGTAGTGATCACATTCTTAAAGGAAGGTACAGACTGGAGAGAAGTCAAGGAACCTCTCAGGGAGCCTTGAGGGATGCCACAAATTTTGAAACTACAGTATAAATGTGATTCCTGGAAAATTAAAGCTGAAAAGACTTAAAACACTGGCCAATTTTAAATTGGATTTACTTATGTACTACTGAAGTTTCAGTGATGGTGGAAATCATAGTGCACCGCCAACACATAATGACTCTTATTTTCTATATTATATTACATTGATATAAAGTATCAATTTGGCCAACATGTTTTTGTTTCAGCATATCTTGATTCATGGTCAGTCGGATGTTGGAGCAGTGCTACATTTGAGTATTTCTTCTGGCTCATCCTGACAATAGAGTTTGATTTAAAGGACGCTGTGGAAAAAGCATCCCAACGTGTTCAAAGGGCCAAGAGCATATGGAGTCTTTTTTGACCATATGAGTTGAAATGAACCCAAAAGCATGGCGCGTAATGATTGTTGCACACTGGGCCCACGAGCTGTGCTGTGAGCTAACCAATCAATATCCCATCAATAGCTTTTTATTAAAATTGTTCGCAAGCAAATCAAAATCTATATTGTTTTCACTGAAGAAAAGAGTGTGAAATATTCCATTTGTGCGTTAGTCAGATGAATGGTGTGAAATATTGGTTTCTATGCATGATGGAATTAGCGCTCGTTGCCTATACGTATTTTTATTAGAATATCTCACCCGAATTGATTTTTCCTAAGCGATGCATTTGTGATTAACTTATTTCCATTCATTTCAACTGAGCTAAATTAACTATCATATTACCCCTGTATAAAGATGAGATTAATAACACAAGTATTCATTATACTTATGAGATGAATGATATGCTGCACAGGCCGTATCGATTCAGCTGCAAGGAGAGAGTGCGGGGCGGGTTGCTTATCGCCAAGCTTTTATCGCTTATTTAACGCTATATATTGGGCAGTACAGGCCGTTTAAATGACTCTATTTCACCAGCTTGAAATATGAGCCACTGAAATTCTCGATAGTGCATCTGTCACCACAAAAGTACTTTTTCCGCTCCTCCTTTCCACTCAGCATTGTTTAGCCTTTTAAATCAGATCAGTAATCCTCCCTCTGTGATAGACCATTAGACATACACTGGAATTTGAAGAGCATCTTTATTTAGATCAACCGTTCTGAATATTACTGAATAAACTACCCACCTCTTCACTTTCCCCGAGCTCAGAGATGAACGAGGGAGGAAAAAAAAGAGAAAGCAAAACAGATAGTAGGTGTGAAGGCTGAAAAGGATATTCACTGAAAGTTCCCATTGCTGGGGTTTGTTTCTTATCTTTGCAGACGAGTGGGAAATCAAAGACTGGAATGCTGGGAGAACGCTGGGGAAACTGACGAAGGG